CTGAGGACTGCTCACTCAGTGACACCCGAGTCTGCTACCTCAGTTCTACATGCCCCACGCCAGCACACAGCTAGTTTACAGACTGAAGCAACATGTATGTGAATACAGAAATCTCCAGATTACAAAGGACTCGGCCGACAACCGGTACAGTTCAAGAACCAAGCGTGAGGAGCAGCAGAGTTTGCTGGACAACACGCCTAATGTCTGCAACACCAAACTCAGTCGTTTCAAAAGGAAGCAGAGTGGTATCCCCTGGTATGAGGCAAAGTAGAGGAGGTGGCCAAGTGCCATCATCACGCTGATTACTTATTCATCACTACTATTGCAGACAGTCCTTGTAACAGTGAACATATGCCCCGGAGATTTATACTTCAAGATCATGTTCGGTTAAGGAAAAGACTTTTATGGTTCAAGCAATCTCCACGGCTTGGATGAAATCTGAACAGAATAATCACTGGCGCAGTGGTTAAGCGCTCAGCTGCTAACCCAGAAGTTAGTGGTTTGAAGCCACTATCCGCTCTGTTGGAGGAAGAAGCAATCTGCTCCCATAAAGATATACAGCCTTGAAAACCTCACAGGACAATTTTACTGTGTCCCACGGGGTCTCTAGGAGACTGAATAAACTCCACAGCAATGGGTTTTTAAACATTGCCTAAGTTTTACTGAAGGAGCTCTGGTAGCGTAGTGGTTATGAATCGGGCTGCAAACTGCAAGGTCAGCAGTTCAAAACTACCAGCTGTTCTGCAGGAGAAAGATGAGGTGTTCTGCTCCCATAAAGATTTATAGCCTTGGAAACCCTGTTCGGGGTTACTATGGGTCGGAACTGACTCGATGGCACTTAACAACAACAACAACAGCAAGTTCTACTGAAGGAGCTCTGGTAGTGTAGTGGTTATGAATAGGGCTGCGAACCGCAAGGTCAGCAGTTCGAAACCACCAGCTGTTCCGCTGGAGAAAGATGAGGCTCTCTGCTCCCGTAAAGATTTACAGCCTAGAAAACCCTGTACAGGGTCGCTATGAGTCGGAACCAACTCTATGGCACACAGCTACCAAATTCTGCTGACCTTACTATCTCTTAAGATGTTCCGTAGATGTAAACACATTGCTTGTCACTGGTAAAGATATCTTTGAATAGAAGTGCTTTTGGCTAATAGAAGCCAGAGACTTTCCTAGTTAATTTTGTATAATAAATAATTGTTGTTAAGTGCCATCGAGTCGGTTCAGACTCATAGCGACCCTGTATGGGGTTTCTGAGGAGTGGCTGGCGAGCTTGAACCACCACCAACCTTGTGGTTCAAACCAACCTTGCAGTCCAGCGCATTAACCTGCAGCATCACACCAGGACTCCAACCATTAATACACAATGGTAATTTTGCAGTGGTGATAGCAGTTGCAGAGGTTTTGTAAAATATAAGTTTACTATACAGGATATTTACAATTTTCTCGGTCAATTTCCGCTCTGCTCCGTGGCCCCCAGCTCCGTTGTGACATGTGGAGGCTGGGGTACACATGGGTGACAGGATGGCTTATCCTCTGGCTGCTGGTTGAGCTTGGCCAACGGAAGGTCCCGGAAGGGCAGGAGGAGAGTGAGGATAGGGCGTTCATTCTCTTGGCTCCTCCCTGCCAGGATGCCATGGGCCACAGGTCCTGTTAGGCAGCCTCCTTGATACAGTCTCTCTCTCTGTGCGACAACCCAGCGGTTGTTCAGTGGAGGGGCCGGGGGGCGGGGAGGAGTGTGATGCTGCAATATTTCTTGTTCATTTCCATAAATCCTGATCACACTTTTTAAGAAGCTGTACAGGCTGGGAGCAATTTTCAACTGTATAATGGACTAAGAATTCAGTCTACACAGGCTCAAACTTGTGAAACACACTTGTCAATAGGAATGGGCTGTTTCTCTTTGTCTAATCGAAAGCAACTGGGAAGGAGCCTGCTACTGAGATCAGAGTTGGGAAAGATGGAGTTGCTACGGATAACACTCACCAGAGGCCTGCTTCTAGGAGAATTGTGTGTTTTCTGTAGAAATCCCTTAAAATCTTTGTAGGAGAGAATTGGAAACATTTAGTGCTGTCTAATAATGAGTCCAAGGTGCTCTGATAGCGTTGTGGTTACGAATCGGGCTGCAAACTGCAAGGTCAGCAGTACGAAACTACCAGCTGCTCTGCAGGAGAAAGATGAGACTTTCTGCTCGCGTAAAGATTTACAGCTTCAGAAATCCTGTACAGGGTCGTTATGAGTCGGAACCAACTCCACGCACATAACCACCACCACCAATAAGGAGTCCTGGTGTGGCGCTGTGGGTTAATGCGCCAGACTGCAAAGCCATTTGAACTGCAGGGTCGGCGGTTCAAGCTCAACAGCTGCTCCTTGGAAACTCTATACAGGGTTGCTATGGTTCAAAATTGACAACAATAATGCCAGATAAAAAGGCGCTGATTTTAATTAAGCTGTGTGGTGCTATAGGATAAGCACTGGACTGCTAACTGCAAGATCAGCTCCTCAGAAACTCTATACAGGGTCACTGTGGGTCAAAGCCAACTTGAAAGCATTTAACAATGACAATAAATACGCTATTCTTTTCTCATCAGCTTGTCCTAAACCCCTTCCTCTCCGGCAGGTTAGTTTTCAGTTTCCATAGCGAAACACTATTTCTTGAAGCAAACATGTACACGGAAATTTCTGTTCTCCCTTCTCCTAGAACTCATACTATCTTTCCTCTCTCCATTCATTTCTTGTAGCTGTGTGTGTCAGAACCTAATCATTACAGATCGGCCCGGACTATGGACCCTTGTTAAAGATTGACCAACTTTATGCTTCAAGGACGGATTGGCAGATCCATATTCTGAACAGAACTTGTAAAATGATGCTTGTCACATGTCAGTTATTACTAAGAGCACGTGTTATTCAAACGTTTTCTCAATTATTTTCTGTACTTGATTTCATTGCAGCACTTGATTGAGCTAAAGCGATTAATCTCTTAATCAGATGGGCAAACTCAAGCTTTGTTTTGTCATACATGCAGGATAGATTATGGAAAACGGTTTAGTGGTTTACTGGCAGCCCCCAGGTTAGGAATCAAGTCTGCTCCCCAAAATGTCTGTACAGTAGAATCTGTAGGTGAGTAAAAACATGTGCATAAGGGTTCTATTTAGCCCTGCTTTCATGTAAGAAAGGCACCCTAGAAGTGCTGTAGGATAAACACTGGACTGCTAACCTCAAGCTCAGCATTTCAAACCCATCAGCTTCTCCTTGGGAGAAAGATGAGACTTTTCTGATCCCGTACAGATTTACAGCCTCAGAACCCCTATACAGGATTGCTATGAGTCAGAACTGACTTAATGGCAGTGAGTTTGGGTGGATTTGAATGCAAGGAACAGCTGCACAGCTGCCAATGAAGGTGACTGTGAGGAAGAATTTATTGTGAATGGGGGTTGGTAATATATGTATCCATCATTTCAAAGGGAGGATACATTTATATAGCATTAAAGGGCAAGTACAACTTTTAAGTCAGACATTTGGACATTCATAACATGAGGACTTGTACTTTAAAACCTTGAATTGCTCTTGGCCTTCTTTCTTCCCTTATATAATTCCATGTAAAATGCGACCCTCTGGGAGGTCTGACTTGGCACCTGGGGACAAGGGTGGTTTCCTCAAGGAGCTCCTGCAGCTGTGGGGGCTCTTGTCAGGCAGAAACCCAGTCAGACTCACCTCCGAACAAGTGAGGCATTTAAAACCTTGTGACCTCAGCCTCAGCTTTCAGACTGTGTAGAAAAATAATAATAAAGATACCCAAAGCTGTGAACCAGTTCCAAAATGGTTTAGTAACTGCCAACCTCAACACGGTCCATAGCAACCTAGGCTGTTGCTTGTGGCATTCTGACCCAACAGGAAGCAAACAGCTATGGCCGTCAAAGGCAGTGGATACCACAATTTCTACCCACAGCCCTTCCTCCTCAAAGTTCCAGGAGCCTGATGCGGAGATTGCGTGACGCGGAAACAAAGGCCTGGTGGCCAGTTAGCAATCTAAATTCCGGTGACCCCATGTGTGCTGAGGACAAGTGCCACATGGGGTTTACACGGCAGATGGCAGGTCTGTCTTGGGAGGTGCCTCTGGATAGATTAAAACTCCCAACTTTTTGGGTTGTAGCTGAGTGTTTGGTCCTCTGTGTCACCCAAGGAAACGGGAGACCCACAAAAGCCTAGTGGAAGGGTTTTGGGGACCCCACTCTGGCCTATCATGGATTTGAGAAACTGGCTAAGGCGAGCTGTCTAGAGATGAAGACATGAGTTTAAAATCTGTTTCAAACAACAATCGACCCCTTGATCAGAGAAATGAATGGCAGGAAAGGACGAACTTTTAGCACTGTTTTCTACTATGTATCATAAATACTCACGTGCTCTCTGTCCAGAGAAGAGGAGGAGTCCTAGAACGGGAAGGGCAGCAGCTTTTGCTGTTTACATCGTCTGGAGAACAGCTGGCCCAGAGGGTCTACACTCGACTACTAACTGAGAAGAAGGGGGCTCCAACCCCCCAGTGACGCCACGAACGAAAGGCCTGTGGGTGTGCTTCTGTAAAGATTTTGTAAGGTGCTATTGAGTCAGTTTGGACTCATAGCGACCCCGTGCAGGGTTTCCGAGGAGTGGCTGCTGAGTTTGACAGCCCAGAAAATGCCATGAGGTCCACATCTACCTTATAACACACAGTTGTGACCAGGACTCACAACTGATGAATGACAATAGCTTCGGCTTTCAGATTCACTTATAGCATCTCAGAGACAAGGTAAAATAAGTATTAATGTTAACAGATATGTTAACTTTACCAACAGGACCAAACCAATTTAAATGATAATTTATTTGGAGATTTATCATAGTGACAGCTAAGTGTGTAGACAGCAGCTAGAGAGAGAAAAGCCCTGGGCTGGTGGGCTGGCCAGACAAGCAGCAGCCCTGAGATGCCCAAGAACTCGGAAGCCCCTCCCCGCCACTCACACACCCACCTCGTTGAAATGGACATCCTGCATGCCGACATCTTCCATCATAGAAGCCTCCTCATCGATGTTTGGGGTAATCACTCTGAAGGCTACACAGCCTTGTCTAAACATGCCTAGGAGTTGAGAGAGCAGCAGAGAGTCGGTGTTATTAACCTAACGTGGGCCACCCCCAAGGGTTCTTCCTGCCCCGTGGGCTTCAGTGTCCAAGGAAATGACCAATTCTGAAATCTATTAGATCTCAGGTCAACATTTACGTGGGGTGTGGCCGAGGATACTGTGTGCTTTTCTTCATCTCTAACCAGCCCCTCTCCCATATTTAACCTCCTTCTCCCTCAATTTGTGTTTTATTTAACCCACCTTTATTAAAACTTATATGTAGTCATCACACTAACAGTAAAATAATAATGAACTATAATTTGATTTGGTAAGATGATCGATGACCAGATACCCAGAAAAGAAAGATGCCAAAGCCAACCAGAGAGAATACGACCCAACAACAACTTTGCTTCCTTCAAGTTTATCTCACCCACTCTGACTGCCAGCTAACCCTGTAACTCGAGAACATTTCCCTTCTCTTTGTGAAGCTGTCTATAATACAAAGATGTGGGCAACTCAGACACTGGTTACCTAAAATGAGGGGGCGATAAAGGCACGAAGTAACTGGCTTACAAGGTTTCAAGAAGTTTAGTTTAGTTTAAGAGTATGGGGGGGAAGATAGAGTCCCCCCTGAATCGTTTTCATCTTGTCTAGATGGGTCTGGTGAAAAAAGATGGGGATAAAATTATTATTCACTAGTGAGTAATTATTATCATGACTAATTGTGACAGTCACAATTGTAAAGGTAGAAGTTTTGTAACAGAAACGGGTGAGTAGTTAATCTTACGGTCCAGAAACAGAGGACCCTAGGACCATCACGAGAGAGAAGAGCACAAGCGGAATGTGGGACCCTAACCAGAGAATCAGCGACACCAGAGATGGAGGCAGAGATGAGGACGTGCAGAAAGGGAGCAGCTGAGGACTCTTGATTCATGGAAAGAGAGGGACTGAGAGCTGGCAGCCAGGAGGCAGACTTGCAGAATGTGGCTTTTGGTGGTTTAAATTATTATATATGCCTCAGTGTTAAAAAAAAAACAAAAAACAACCCCACAAAAACTGAAATGAATAGAGAGAAATACTGTTAAGTGATGGTACATGGAGGGGATTATAATCCTTATAATGAAACAAAGTATATGATTTGTTGACTGTAAAACTGATGATCTGCTCTGTAAAATTTCACTCAATTCACAATAAAAACTTTAAAAAAAAAAAAGATGTAACTCAAAAGCAGCACCCAGGAAGTGGGGATCTGCTATACTTGGTTCCCATAGCAGCCCAAGTCCTTGAATGGTGTAACTGGGCAGTGTGCTTGGCTGTCAACCTAGAGGCTGGAGGTTCCGGTCCATGCAGAATTTCCTTGTGAGAAAAGCCTGGTGTCCTACTTCTGAAAAATCCATCCCTGAGAACTGTGTGAGGCACACACACTTCTCCTCCTACACAACTCAGAGTCTACTCAGCAGCAAGATTGGAAGGTAAGAAGAGATCTATTCCTTCACCCAACCAAAGAGTACGAATAGTATGTCAGGGGTCTAGGCACCCTGATTGCCTACAGAGATTCTCTAAGGGAAAAGGAAAAGCAGAGAGGGATGGTGTAAGGTTGGAGCTAGGACAAATGCTTTGTGTCACATCCTTTACATAGCAATGGTCCACGTGAGGTATTGGCTCATTCTGTGGCCACTAGGAAATGGAGTTTTAAGTAAGTTGGACAATACCAGCTGTGCAATAAATCATCAAACGAAGGAGGACTAGAAATGTCTTGCTACTCAATCTTGAGATGGTTGCTTATAACAAAACAGGAGTCCTGGTGTGGCGCTGTGGGATAATGCGCCAGACTGTAAAGCCGTTTGAACTGAGAGGTCAGTCGGCAGTTCAAGCTCACCAGCTACTCTTTGGGAACCCCAAAAAGGGTCACTATGGGTTGGAATCGACTCGACGGCACTGAACAACAACAACAAAACTGTTTTAGAAAAGAAGAACACAGAGTATTTTGAAATCAAGCTTTGAAAAAGTAGATCCTTAAGTCCGAGATGTTTCTGCTGCATCTAGGTCAAGAGTGAGCCACTCTGTTCCACCTGTTTCAGGTGCAGGGCTTCAAACAGGTCAGCCTGGTTCAGCCATGGCTGATGAAGCAACACCAGAATGGACCCTAATTTTTAAACCGTGGGTGGGCTGGGATGCTAACTGGGATGGGAAACTCAGAGGTCAAAGCAAGGGCAACATACGAGCTGCATAACCCCCAAATGTCTTGGCTGAGTGGAAAACAACAGTGGCCGGCTCACAGATGGCAGCTGACAGCGTTGCTCTGAATGTGTGCAGCTCTCCAGGATTTAGGCAATGCTCTCATCTCACACACCAACCTCCTGACAGGGCTCGTTGCACCTCTGCCAGGGCTCCCAGTTCAGGGTTTCAACACATAAATTTTCCTGTTTCAATTACCAGTCCAGATCATTCACATTTAAAAAATTCAGCTCTGTTCTGGTTTTGCTTTGTTGACCATGACTGAACCAGTATGAAGCTTAGATGAGCCCTGCTTTCATTTTGTTATATGGAAACAGAACATTTCCCAAAGAAATGCATTAATCTAGGGGCTTGAAGATGTAGTAATTTACAAAAAACAAAATGGCGAAACCATGTAGGCTTTAGGCTTCCAAGCCCACAGCCATCGAGTGGATTCTAACTCAGAGTGAACCTTTTCAGGGGGCCCGAGGCTGTCAAATCTTTACAGGAGCAGCTAGCCTCATCCTTCTCCCAAGGTAGGGCAGTGGCTTTGAACTGCTGACCTTGTGGTTAGTAGTCCAGTGCTTATCCTACTGCACCACCCCAGGACTCCTTACAGCTCCTGTCATGGGAAATCAGCTATTTTCATAGCTCACATGAGCAGCCAACAAACTGGAGTCCCCAGGGAAAGGAGGGGGGCAGAAGAGTGCAGCCCATCCACGCAGAATTGGAACAAAGTCCCCGCACCATGGAGTGGCATGCGAAGAGAGCAGTGGCCGCCAGGGACTGGGCCCACCCTCAGGCTCACCTCCCTGGCTCCTCCTCTGGCAGGTGCTGTGGCTGTACCGGAAGAGGGGTGGCTCCCGGCGGAGAGCTAGGTCTGCTTCTAAACACGAGGACATGCATTACCCGACCAGCGGTCTCAACAGGACAAAGTACTGGTGTGAACTGAGCATGTCTTTTGGGTCTTGGACACCCTTTTAATTCCACTGTCTGTAGCAGCTGTGGCAGACCCAGACCTTTCTTGGTCTCGGCCCTTGTGACTTGATAACATCTCTCTCTTGAAATGTACTCACTAGACCTGCTGTTCTCAATATACCTGCCACAGGTGGAGGCTGTGAGGGTTTTGAAGTGGAAACGAGCAACTGATGTGTAATCAAAAGGAGCCTGTGAAAGAACCCACGGACAGCTAACCTGGGAACACCTTATAATGAACAAATGTTCAGCATTCATTCCTGGCCCCCCTTCACCTGCTAGGCCAGTTTCTCACACAATGACGGCAACTGGGTGGCATTCCAGAAAGGCCGACTGATAATCTTCCGTTACAAGTGTCTTTTGATGGGTAAAGAGCTCCAGTGGGACATATTTTGGGTAAAAATCACAGGTCTTTTCAGCTCTAGAGTGGCCCATGAGGGACACCCAGATGTGGAGCTCATGAATTAGCTTCTCCAGAATGGGCCCCTCAGTGAAAGGTTATATGACATGCCGTCTACATTTCTTTTTAATACTGTCTTAACTGCTGCCCACCACAGCAAGCAACACCATGCCGGGGAAGAAAACTATGACTACAGTTCACACACACACATAATCCCCCACCTCCAGATTGTCCTAAACGGCTCTCAGAGGCTCCCTGGGCCTTGCTTTTGCTGCATTGTACTTTATTTTGATATTTATTTCACTAAACACAGGACAGCATTTTCTTACCTTTCCGCGTGAGGTACTCTGCCACCAGGGCTGTTACATGGACATAGCACATTGCTGCCTATAATAGAAGACACACACATGCCTTAGAATAACACATCACAGCGTTACCAGCAGACAAAAAGCTCATGACTATATGGACTTCTATTAAAGTTCAAGGCACCAATTAGCAAAAAAGAGGAAGACCCCAAGGAGATCGGCTGATGGAATGGCAGCAATAATGGGTGCAATGTGAGGATGGCGCCGGACTGACCAGGGTTGCTGTGAGTCGGAACTAACTCAACGAAATCTATCAACAGCCAATCAGTGTCTCTAATTTGTGAATGGCTGATACCTCACCTTTAGAAGGTCAAGTCAAAAAAGGAAAACTGCTTTATGTCTGCGAAGAATCAAGTCTTACAACTAGTTGTTGGAAATCATAGCTGATAGGTTGAAAATGGAAATTCAAAAAGGTATATAAATTGCAAAAGTGCCAATTTAGAAATGCAAAGTACAGGAAAAAAACAGAATATATGTGGAGGTTTGAAAACGTTCACGAAAAGGGAGTTAACAGATAATAACATTTTCCCCTGAACTCTTGGAAGAAGCTGCTGCCTGTCACTGCATCTGAGAGGCTGACCATCTGTAATGTAACAAGGGGCGATAATTCATCCACAGTGAAATTTTAATGTAAGTTAGGAGTTGAGACAAATGGCAATAAAATTTCTAAGATTCACTTCCATTTAAATTTAATCCTAGTTAAATTACAGTTCTATTACATTTGAATGGAAGAGGCAAAAAACCTTAAAAATAGCAAAGATTTCTGCATTGTTTTTCTTAGAGTAAAAAAGAGAGTCCTTTGGACAAAAAAAGACATACTCATACCTAGATTCTGAGGGATTCAAATTTTCAGGGCTGATGTATATCCCCCTTCAACTTAAAGGAAGAGAGATGAAGTTGTAACTTTCCCCACAACACATAAGAGTTCTGAACCACAAGATCCTAATTCAATCTTAAATTAATCCTAAAATTCCAAATACTTTAAAAATAAAACGTTTTAAGATTTTTTTTTTTTTACCAAGTAACTTTGGTTTTGCAGCCATAGCTATTTGGTTCTGGTGTTTCAAGGGGTCCTGGTGTGGTGCAGTAGGGTAAGCACTGGATTGCTAACCACACGGTTGGCAGTTCAAACCCACCAACAGCTCCTCAGAAACCCTATACAGCGGGGGCGGGCTAAGGTCTGTGAAATCATTTGAGCTGCCCCTGCCAAGGAAACCGCAGTCCCAGCCATCGCACTGTCGTTTAGTGCTGTGGAGTTGGTTCCCACTCATAGCGACCCTGTACAGGGTTTCTGAAGAGCAGCTAGCTGGTGAGTTTGAACTGCCAACCTTGTGGTTAGCAGTCAATCAACATTGCTGTTGTTAAGTGCTGTTGAGTCAGTTCTGAGGGTTTCTGAGGAGCAGCTGGTGAACTTCAACAGCTGATCTTGATCTTGTGATTCAAACCGACCTTGCAGGCTAGAGCATTAACCTGCAGCACCTGAGTTAAATGATCGGCTAATTTTTAGGTTGATAATTTTGTATGGTTACAAATTGGGCTGCTAGCCTCAAGGTAGGCAGTTAAAAACTACCAGGTGTTCCGCGGGAGAAAGATGAGGCTTTCTGCTCCAGTAAAGATTTGGTTGCTGGTGGTTGGTTGGTTATGTACCGTGGAGTCAGTTCCGACTCATAGCGACCCTTTACAGGGTATCTGAGGCTGTAAATCTTTACAGGAGCAGAAAGCCTCATCTTTCTCCTGTAGAACAACTGGTAGTTTTGAAACTGCTGACCTTGAGGTTTGCAGCCCTATTCGTAACCACTATGCTACCAGAGCTCTTTCCGTAAAGATTTACAGCCTCGGAAACCCTTTGCAGGGTCACTATGAGTCAGAACCGACTCCACGGTACTTAACAACAACAATTTTGTATGGCCGGCGAATGATGTTATATAAATATCCAAATGACCCTTGGCAGAATAAAGATACCTCAACCCTGCTATACAGAATCCTGGTGTGGTACTGTCGGTTAACGCGCTGGACTGCAAAGTTAGTTTGAACTACAAGGTTGGTGGTTTGAGCTCATCAACCACTCCTTGGAAACCCTAAACAGGATCGCTATGAGTCAGAATTGACTTGACGACATTGAAACAGCAACAAGAAGATGTTGCAAAAAAACCCAAAAAATAGCTATTGTAGTGAACCTACTAGAAGGCTCTGGGGTTGTGGGCCTTGTCACTTGTGCCTGCTGCCCTCCCCTCCCCCATGGTGTCCTCGGCTGGGGTCTCATTGGTAGGGAGCCCACTCCAGGTGCATGTATAGGTAAATACATGTAAGCAGTGGCACATGACACCAGGACCTGTCAAGACTGCAGCACCTACCACTCTGGGCAATCCGTAGTGGCGGTGGCCACAGCTGACCTCTTGTTCGTCCCTTCCCACAGAGTGTATCAGGCGAGTATGCCCAACACAGACACTCAGATATTTGCATTATTGATCAGACACCAAAACCATAGATGGCTGAAGCAAAGAGAAACCCTGTAAGTTACCTGCTTTCATCCCTTCCTTCCTGGAGCAATTCAGTGAGGTTTTGTTTTGAGACCTGGCTACACAAGTCTGGTGGCACAGTGGTTAAGCTCTCGACTGCTACCTGATAGGTCAGCAGTTCAAACTCATCAACTGTTGCACACAGATTTACAGCCTTGGAAACCCCACTGGCCAGCTCTACTCTGTCCTATGGGTTTGGGTTTGGGGGGCCACATTAGGTTTATATTTTTAAAGGTCTTAAATTCTAAGAGTGATAGAAAAATTATTGCATTCAATATATAATTCCTTTTTACTGCAGTTACTGTACCATTTACTTAAACTTAAGGTCAAACAGAATTATAATGTTATGTATTTTTTTAAGCACATTGGGTTCCTTGGGTAATCATTTGATAACGATTAAATAAAATTTTCAGACTTAGAACATAATTTTAACCATTTAAGCAGTTATGGAAGTTTAAAAGTAGAAATATATTTGCTTTCATAACATTATTACTGAAATCTCTTAGAAACAAAGCCTGAACAGAGTTGTCATGAAAACATCAAACCAAAGCCAAGCTCACTGCCATTGGGTTGATTCTGCCCAGAGTGAGCCTGCATTTGGTTTCTGAGGCTGTAAATCTTTATGCAAGCAGACCACCTCATTGTTATCCCAAGGAGTGGCTGGTGGGTTTGAACTATCGACCTTGTGGCTAGGAGCCCAGTACTTATCCTACAGAGCTACTAGAGCTCCTCAGGAAACACAGAACCTGCTGTACAGCCTATTGTTTTCCTTAACCTCCCATTTTACAGATGAGGACATGGAGGCAGATAGAGCAAGGTTAAATAATGTGCCCTCTGTCAGAAAGTCAGGAAATACTGGCTGTGGGATTCAACTCTGTCTCCAGAAACTATACACTCAATGATGAAGCCACATTATCTTCCTCAGACAGCTACACTTCAGCTCAGCAAAAGAGCATCCATTCCATCCACAAACGGAGATGGAAGAGCTCTGGTAACGTAGTGGTTACAAGGTGGGCTGCTAGCCTCAAAGTCAGCAGTTTGAAACTACCAGCTGCTCTGCAGGAGAAAGATGAGGCTTTCTGTTCCTGTAAAGATTCATAGCCTCAGAAACCCTGCACAGGGTTCCTATGAGTTGGAACCAACTCCACGGCACATACCCACCAACCACGTTAGGAAGCAGAAAGTGTCCTATCATTAATAGCACGAAGAAGTCATTTTATCATTAAAATAACCAAATCTAAGAACTATTTTTGACCTAAAACCTCATTTAATTACCAGGCAACTAGATATGAAGTCCTGGTGTGGTGTTGTAGGGTAAGCTCTGAACTGCTAAACCACAAGGTTGGCGGTTCAAACCCACGAGTCATTCCTTGGAACCAACTCATGGCACTTAACAACAACCGATGAATATTTTTTAAGGGCTTGAAAACAATGTTGTTTTGTGTTCCCTTATAATCTACTTTAAGTTAATTAAATGCTTTGCTGCTTTTGTTAGCTGTTGGGGAGTTGGCCCCAATTCATGACGACCCCATACATGATGGAACAAAACACTGCCTGGTCCTGAGTCAGTCCCACGATTGGTGGCAGAGCAGACCACTGTGATCTATGAGGCTTTTATTGGCTGACTTTCAGAAGTCAGTTTCCAGTCCTTCCTTCCTCATCTGTCTAAGTTTGGCAGCTCCAGGGACAGCTCAGCATCATAAGCCTGCAGTGGCAAGTGGGCTGTGGCTGTGCAATGCAGAACATTGGCTGGAATCAAACCTGGGTCTCCCTCCCACTGACCCACCGGATGAAAATACTTAGGTAACTGTAAAGCAACCCTGAAGGGTCACACAGCTGAAAGCGGCCTTTTTAAATTCACAGGAGTGCTCTTCACACAACTGGGTCCACTGAATTCATGGGACATAACCTTCCTCAAAACCCTAGCTCTAGAGGCTGCCAGGCCTACCTCCGAGAGATCCCCGTTTTTGACGTGGATTCTGGCCATGCTGTCGAGCCACGTCTTCCTGAGCTCGGGGGTGCTTGCGTAGGACTTGGCCAAGCTGTACTGGAGATCCACCAGCATCTCCGGGTCATTCTCATGCTCCTTCATCTGCGCAGTGGCCATCAGGACTGTGCGGATCCTTTTGGTCAAATCCTTCACATCAGAAGAAAAGCTGGTATGCTACAATGGGGAAGAAGGAGACACGTCTTTCCTAGACATCCTGCCGGCACACGCACGTACTAGAATGTGTGCCAGAGTCCTGGGAGGGAAACACACCATAGGACAAGCACCTACCTTAATGAGTCTGTCACTGTTGGCACAGTTGTTGATGATGGACAAGGACTGCTGGAATCTGGTGCCCCCAATCCCAACCACGTCTGCTATCAGCTGGCTGACAGAAATGATGACCTTAGAGACACACGGAGGAACACATCAGTGAACGCTCAAGTGACTGGGAAGCCTCATGCTCAGTTAGGATACGCACGAGGACAGGGCAGAGGTGGGATGTTTTGAGAAGTGTAGCATACAAACTGAGTCAGTCATCCTTTTTTTTTTTTAACCTTTTAGGACTTAGTCCTAAATTTTTAAGTTTCTTAAGCTATCTTTACATATTTCCCTTGCACAAAGCAAAAATGCCCATCAGGAGAATGAAGAATAATGAGAATTGGTTGGGTCTGCATTTACGTAAAGGAGCTCTGGTAGTGTAATGGTTATGAATCGGGCTGTGAACCACAAGATCAGCAGTTCTAAACTACCAGCTATTCCGTAGGAGAAAGATGAAGCTTTCTGCTCCCGCAAAGATTTACCTTGGAAACCCTGTACAGGGCCACTATGAGTTGGACCCAACTCCATGGCACAGACCCACCACCACCACATTTACTTAATGTAGGAAATTCACTTGACTGCAAGGTTGGCGGTTCAAACTCACCAGCCACTCCTGGAAAACCCTATACAGGGTCACTATGAGTCAGAACCGACTCGATGGCACTTCACAACAACAGCAGTGAAAAGGAAGACCTTATTACTTATCTTGCCAAGTTTTTGGTTTGAATTTATATGCATTAAGTATTCAACAGATAAGAAATCCTTTGCATTTTTTATTTTAATATAAACATACCAAATATGCAACAGTAAAAAACCGTTGTCATTGAGCTAATTAACTGACACACTGACCCCATTGTCTTAGAGGAGACACATGTGTTCCACACCATGTGTTCCACAGGGTTTTCAATGACTTATTTTGTCAGAAGATCACCAGGGCTTTCTTCTGAGATGCCTCTGAGTGGACTCAAACATCTAACCTTCCAGTTAAGAGTTGAGCACATTAACTGTTTCACCACCACGGGACTCCAAATACACAATCGGATCTGTATCTTTCAGGTCTGAAGCACCATCTTTACTCTGTTGTTATGCTGAAACTGCCAATGCCATCCTATGCCCTCATTTTAATTCACTACATCCATGGATTGTCAATGAGTATTGTCAATTCAGTTTCCTCTTCTTCCTAACCTACCATCCCTAGACATCACCAGCTCTGCAGGATAATGTACTGGGCCAAAAGGTTGGTTTGAATCTCAAGGTCAGAGGTTCAAACCCATCAGCCGCTCCTCGGAAACTCTATACAGGGTTGCTATCAGTCCAAACCAACTCAATGGCACTTAACAACAACAAAAGCTAAGTCTTGGTCATGGTGCTGTAGAATAAGCACTGGACTGCTAACTGCCAGATTGGTGGGTTTGCAGTCCAGTGTTCTCAGTTTTCTACTACTCACTCTTTTATTACGTAATTCTTCCTGGGTTGCCAGCAATAACAGCGTGACACTGTGGGCTAACGCATCAGATTGCAAAGTCCTTTGAACGGCACGGTTGGTGGTTCAAGCTCACCAGCTGCTCCTTGGAAACTGTATACAGGGTCACCATGGGTTAGAATCAACTTGACAACAACAACAATTACCATCAAGAGTAACCATAGGGTCCTTCCAGCGAGCAGTCATTGTCCACACACCAATGTCTTCCAACTGACCCCGGACCCAACAACCTCTGGCAAGGACAGATGTCTGACTCACCATCTCCCCCGGAGATTTTAGTAGTGAGGGGTATACCTAGAGAATATCCCAGAGAACATGACTCCACAGAGCCAGACCTCTGTTTAGGGACAGAGGTGGATTAGAGCTGGGAATGTGCAGAAAGAAGTAAGGATCCCAGAAATCTAAGGGTATAAAGACCTGGTGGTTGTGTGACTTGGTCTTAACTCATAGTGACCAGGTGTAGGGTTTCTGAGGCTATAAAACTTTGTGGAAGCTGAAAGCCTCATCTTTCTCCCATGGAGAGACTGGTAGATTTGAACTGCTTACCTTCTGGCTAGCAGTCCAGCTCATAATCCACTATGCTACCAGGGCTCCTGAGTACCCCTAGTTCAAGACACCTCATGGTCCTGAATTTTAGTAACAAAAATCTCACATTGCTCCTTGTCTGTGCAGGCAATAAGAGCCATTTCTTCTGCACTCCAGTGTCCATTTTATTTCAGTCCACTAACAGCAGGACAAGGGTCAGAACATTGGAAGACGACAAACTCAACTACCATGATTTAGTATTTGAGTGGAAATTTACTAACAGAATTGCATCTTGGGCCCAGATCTGACAATGTTAAGGATAAAATACACCAAACCAGTAAATAATGACTTCACAATTTTCCATATTGGGGCCAGATTTTGTACTATTTATGTAGACTTCTAACTGTGCTAACCACATGGTTGGAAGTTCAAATCCTCCAGGTGTTCTTGGAATCCCTGTACAGGGTCGCTCTGAGTCGGAACCAACTTGATGTTACACAACCACCACCACATAATGCCATACATTAGTAAATGTGATTCTCAAAACCTGTCCTGTTGAAACAGAGCAGTTACATATAAGAAACTTGTATTAGAAAGCCATGGGGGACAAAGAACAAGAAACTGGCTTTTGTTTCTAAAAACAGTCTTGGAATTCCCAAGCAATTTGGGGATTTTTTGCCTTTTGATTTTTCTAAAACAAACAGCACGTTAGTTGTGAAGCCTCCCAACTCATCACCTGGAAAAAGTCTTGGCTTTGGAACACATCACGCTCTTCCTAGGGCAGACAGGTGGGAAAATCTACTTTTTACAGCAAGGAGCACGTCATGTGAGATAGGGGAGGAACTTTCGGGGCCCAACGCAATGACGTTGTTGTTGTTAAGTGCCGTCGAGTCGGTTCCGACCCTTAGCGACCCTGTACAGGGTTTCCGAGGAGTGACTGGTGAGCTTGAACCACCAACCTTGCAGTTTAAACGGCTTGGCAGTCTGGCGCATTAACCCACAGCGCCACCCCAGGACTCCGGCTATGACAGTGGGTGGAGGCAGAATTCTTCAGGCCACCCTATGAAAACTACCTAAACTAGCTAAATGGGCTGAAGGTGGGGCTGATCTTGTCACTCCGGACATAATCAGGAGGGACCAGTCCCTGGAGAATGACATCATACTTGGTGACATGGAGGGTCAGAGAAAAAGAGGAAGCCCCCCAGTGAGATGGACTGGCCCAGTGGCAGCAGCAGTGGGCTCAGGCATAGCAATGATTGTGAGGTTGGCCCAGGACCAGGCAGTGTTTCAGTCTATTATGCACAGGGTTGCTATGAGTTGGTACTGATTGAATGGCACTAATAACAACAAGGGCTGCTCTGAGTTACAAATTGGGGAATGCAGACATGATTTGTCACCTCTGCCTGGACAGTCTTTTCAAGTCACAGGTGGACGTGGCACAGAAATGGGTTCATGTTTAGTTGTACGTGCTGTCCATTTTTTAAGTACGAGAAGCTGCTTTCTGCATGTGAGCACTCTGGAAGTGTCGTGTATGTTCAGGCGCTGAGGGAAAGGAGGTGATTCATGGACAAATCACTGTTGGTCATTGGTGCCTTTTTTCTAACAGCCTTCTGGTTTCTCAGAAACCAGGAACAACCTGTGAGTGGATCACAAAAGCGAAACCCCACGTACCTGCAAATGTGTCCGCACAAAAGACTTCTTTCCAGTGTAGTCAAAGTTATTCCTCATGAGGAAGTAGAGCAGCTGTGAGGCATCGGCTCGGATGGAGCTCAGCTTGGAGTTGCAGCATTTGAGAATCTCGTAGCACAGGGCAGCACACATGTCTGCTCTCCCTTCATAAAACGTCGAGGGAAACTGCAGGAAACGCAGAAAGCAAATACACGTCAAACACGGGTCAGTGCTTGGGAACGTTCTCTTCATTGTCGGGTGGGAAAAGGTGGAAAACGTATGACAGGCAGGATGAAAGAACTTACCTTATAAATTAATGACCTTAAGGCAGTGAAAACATTCTTTAGAGCAGTTTCAGATTGGTGTTTTTGAAGAAAACACAGGTAAACATCAAAAACTTTTTTCATGAGAGGATTGTGCCCATAGTCCGCCAGGAGCTGGTTCTGAAAACACACAGGGACAGTTTAGTTAATGAGACATGCCAGACACTCCTAGTAGGTTCTATACAATTTTTAGGGAGCGTGGTGGCTCTGGACAGTAAGCACTGGACTGCAAACCACAAGGTCGGGGATTTGAGGCACCAGTCACTCCGTGGGAGAAAGATGAGGATTTCTGCTCCTGCAAGGGTTTACAACCTCGGAAACTTTACACGGGGTCGCTGTGAGCCACAATTGACTTGACAGCACTTCATTAACAACATCAAATTTTGAGTTTCATGCACTAAGACAACTTTTAATTTAAACAGACTGCCATAAATTGTGCGGGAAAACACTACATTTTCTTATGTAGTACAAATAAATCTATCAATAAATTTATACTTTGAAGAGTTAATCTCTATTTTTTTTTCATTATTTAGAGAATACTTTATTAGTTTCTGTAATCAAACCCATGTAGATAAGACCTTATATATTCAATACAGTGCGTTATCCCTGTACATATGGGGGGATACTTTTTCCAAAGTTGATACAGCACAGAT